AATAATAAAATGGAACGGCCTTGCAAATATAAAACTATATTTGGTTATACAACATTATATCGTAGTAAAACCATTTTTGCAACATTATGCTAAATCATGTATTAACTCAATTACATTAAAACAGTTCACATGCAAAAACATAATGATATCATATGTATAAAATAATTTAAAAGCATATATTTCTGCATGTTTATAACAATCATTTGCCATGGGGAAACTTATTTTAAAAATCACAATCCTGCCATAATTGAAATCAAAACCAATCAAGGAACATCCAATCTTGGGTAGGACTTTAATCTCACGAGCCCTCTCTTGTAATAAGTATTCCCGACTACGCCAACTCGTGGCCCCAGCCACGTAATATAAAAACTCATGATCTAGCAACTTAACACGTGCCAACAGGCATTCTTGGTATATCTCTAACTAGAACTAACTTTGTGCACAAAGGTAACACATTCTGGTGCTACAACAGGCCTACTTCCAAGTATATCCTTTTATTAAATCATGTAAAATCTCAATGAATGAGCAAGCTCAATAAACTGGTATTAATATCAAAAACAAATAGTTGTTTATATAATCACTTTTAAGGCATGCTATAGTATTCAAATGTTGTATTTTTTCAAAAGAGTAACAAATTACAATTTTCATATAAATGTATTTCAAAGCTTGGTGTAATATTAAAAAACATATGGTTATTAAACACAAAATCAGTTGAAATGCTACATTTCCAAAAATCAATAGTTATCATCATGCTCAATCTTCACAAACACAAACACTTGTAAAGCAATTTGGGCTTAAATCATCTTGAAGGGCTTGTTTTCCAGTTTTCAAAACATATAGTTCATATATTTATACATAGTATATACCCAAAATAAATTTGAAAACCATATAACAATCACAATATCCTAAAACCTTTCTACCAGCTCATGTTTTCCACAATGACATTCAATAGCAAACTCTATATACATATCTGATATAGCATAGAGAATATAATTTAGAATAGGTACACCCCCCTCACCTCAATTAATGGGATTGCTCACCAATTTACTAACCGTTCCTCCTTAATTTAATTTAGCTCCTAGTAATATCCTTTAATGAGCTCAATGACCATTCCCTGAAGGCTCAACGTTATGGTCAAGGTGCCAATCACTCGTGCCTTGACCAAATACTATTTGCCAATCAATGCATTGATTAAACAATCTCCTTGTCATTTCACATTTACTTGGTACATACATACATACATATATACATACATACATACATACATATATACATACATACATACATACATATACATATATATGGTTCTTCCAATACTACTAATTACACATATGGGCAGCAATGATTTAATACTCAAAGCTCAACTAAAATCCATCATTCTTACCTTATCACAACAATTTAGCAACTCAATGAATGTTAATATTTGGGTTGGCAGCTTCCATACACTTACTTGATATTTCTTTACAACCTTGTAACAATACACACACACAGCACATTTCTTAGCAAAAGTTATCAAACCTAACTAAGTATACATTCAGCCAGCATATTCTAGTAACTAAGACCTCACTTCATCCATTTATTCTTACCTTTCAAACTTCACCAATTTACCCTTAGAACTAAGCTTCTGTTAGGTAAGATTTTCAGTAGCTTCCCTTTTACAATTCCTTACAACGAAATATATCAAGTCAATTTAGCATACCCAATTGCTCTTTACAATTCGTAGCTAGTCTAGGTAACCAACCAAAAATGAATTTCCAATTGTCTTACCTTGTTAATGATTGAACTTGTAAAAGAAAAAAAATCTAGGTAAACTTTGCCCTGTCTTATACTTATAAATCTGCCATCACAAAATTTAAGTACTATTAATTTCTTAAACCCTTTTTTTTGCTAATAATAAAGAATTATTACTCACACATTTGGTTTCCAGCATCAAATTCCATTTGGGTTAGTTAATTCCTTTCAAAAAGAAAATTGGTTCAATAGCCTCCGATTCCAAAGGAAACAAAAATTTCTTCAATATTCCTCATTACCGTCCTTGAGCATTTCCAAAACAATTTGAAGAATTTAATCAAAGCTCTTGGGTTTGGCCTCAACAATGCCGAATGCTTCTTAACTCTCCATGGGATGGGTGGAACTCTCAAGGTTCAAGCTCATTACTTCTATTGTTCTTTATTTCTTCCTATCATTTTGTTTTGTTTTGTTTTCTTTTTCTTTTTTTTTTACAACTACTTCATCTCTTGAAATCTTTCTTTAGGACGTGTGGCCGGTTATCACTCTCATCATAGGTCATCTTTAGATTTCATGCCATCCAAGTCTGTTTGTCTATTATAATCCCTTGCCGTTACCTTCACCAATGGTCCTCATTAACCCTTAAAATAATTTATCTTGTTTTTTAAAAAGTTGAACTGCCACCTTTTTCATTAATATAATTTCATGCATAATTTATCTATTATAGTCAGCCACATTCGCAAAGGAATATCCTTATCCTAGTTTATTTATACTTGTTTGAATTTGTAAATTACTAACATATGCGTTTATGCACATGTAATACATTGTGATATAATATACTAATATATTTCTATATATATTCTTATTAAATTAATGTGCATGCTTTACATTTATAGAATATGCACATCATAACTACTTCCCCATTTAGGCCTAGTGTAATAACCTTTAACTTTCATCTTACAGTAAATCTAATAATTTGGCCTTCCTATCAACATAGTATTAGTATGATATTATCTTAATATCATTATACCATGAATAAAATAATTTTGATTCCAAAATTTCCTATTTACTATCTAATGAGCTCTAATAGCTAGCATTCGAAGTATGGGGTGTTACAGGAGATTTGGGATTTTCTTGCCACCAAGTATGAAAATTTTGGACTTGTTCACTATAATTAGTAGTAAACTACTATTCACATATAAAACAAGAGTATGGCCAATAATTGAATGATTTGTTGGCCCATAGCTCAACTTATTTGGAACTATTTGACTTAAGCTAAAATCAGTAACGATCATTTTCATCTTATTCAGATTCTCATGGCTCTTCATCTAGAATATAAAGCCGTCAAGGTTTTGTTACCACGTCGAAATCCAATTCTGACATTAGATACTACTATTTGGGAAATTATTTTTTAGGAGGCACCTCTTGATTGGGATAAATCTCCACGAATTGGTATTACTATTGCTAAAATCTACTGCAATCCATCAAACTAGAAAGTCAAATATAAGTTTTGTAAGAATCATCGACAAAGAGGTCACAATTTTTTTATCTCCCCACAATTGAATGCAGGTATTATAATAAGATTGGAAATATTATTGAAAGCTATCGTATGCGCCCGTCAAGAACTATGAGCAGAACCTTTAAACCTAAGGAAGATTTCTCAATATCTAATCTTCATCTATTGTTGTGTTGCATATGAAGGAAATATTACTCTCATTGTAAGTGACATTGAGACTTTAATAAAACAGGTTATCTCTTTTAATTCTTTTTCTCACACTACTTTCTCTATTACTTATAGCAATTCATCTTGATTCATGGACTCTGCTTATTGTAATCATATACTCCTAATCCATATTGTCAATGCTACATAAATGATGTCACTTACATTGGATATGCTTCTACTAGTATCTTAGTCTTCTTGATGCCTACTATGTTCCTACTTTAGCGGTGAATCTTATGTGATTTAGGCGTCACTATTCTCTTCTCTTCTTCTAGTTGTCAAGTACAAGATCCACAAATGTGGAAGACTCTTGAGATGAGTTACAAGGTGGAGAGATTATTTGAGTGTTTCTCTTTCCATATTCTTGTGAAACATGTGTCAACTGTCATTATATCCAATTCATCTTTGATCATGCTTCAACTCTTAAAATTCACCTTTTTAGTTTCTCGTAAATTGTGAGGATTTACTAAATTTGAATCTTTTCATTATTTGAATTATTAACTTGCAAAAAATCAATTTTTTGATTCCAATTTTGAGCTTGTTCACTCTTACATTTAGAGTCCTTTTTTCTATTTCATTTGTGAATGGCTATTTACATTAATGACTATTCTCGTTTATTTGGATTTATTTTCTTAAATAAAGATTTGATTTACCCCTAATTTACGTACATTAAGTATGCTATCATGATCAAAATTCAATTTTCTCATACCATTAAAATCTTTGAAGTATCAAGGTTTTTCACCTTATCAAGTCCTTGGTCAATAGAGCTCTATCCTTCAATGTTCTTTTTCTGATACATCTCAACAAAATGATAAGGCTGAACATTAACATCATCACATATTTGATTCGATTTATGCTCTTCTTTTTTCTATCTCAAGTCTTGAAAAATTTTGAGGTGAAGCTGTCTGAAGTGTCATGTATACAATAAATCCTACTCTTACTTTGATCCTTAATAATCCTTCTCCTTTCGACTATTTGTTTGGTAATCATCTTGATTATTCAATTCTTAAGCCTTGTGAGTATGTTTGTTTTGTTCTACTGTAACCACATGTCAACTTTGTCATTTCCTTAGTTATGGGATGACCATTGTTGAGATCCTATATCAAATAGGTTACTTATCTTTAGACATGTTACATTTTGAGAGGGTACATTGTTTTCCTCATTATCAAAATTTCATTTCTCATTTTCTTAATTTCTTATGTTATATACTAAACCGGTGCGATTACGATATATTACAATATTATTAGATCACGATACCATTAACTTTAATCCCTCCTCAATAATTGAGAATTCCTCATACATATCTACCCACCTTATTAGACTCTCGGTAAAAGCACAATTTCAAAATATAACATTTCTCTTTTGGTAACATATAGTATGAAATTTTTCTAACGCATGTACGGATAAAATTGGATTGCTGTCCACTAAAAAGGTCAGAAAAAGAAATATGAGGTTAAAAAAAATCATAAAATTAATTAATTAGACAGAATGCCCAGTTTAGCAATAAAGTAGGAAGCAGTGCACGTTGTAAGAAATCAGCCGCCAAAACTAACCTAATTTTCCGGTCAAAACAACTTGCTAAATAAGAAATTTTTTGTCAAAAAAAAAAGAAAAGAAAAGAAAAATTTGTTTTCGCTCCAAGAAATCTGAAATGCGGGAACTTTGAAGAGTGCAAAAGGGGAAAAACCAAGACAAAGAAAGAAAACGAGAAATCATTTCTTTCTTTCTTTCTTTCATTTCAATACTTTTTCTCCTTTTTGGAATCGTTTTTGATTGGTTTAGAATGGAAGCTTCGACTCCTCAAATGCAGACGTTTGGTCAGACGGAGATTAATTGGGACAAGTACGTATCATTAATCTTTATTCCTTAATCATATTTAAAGCTTATTTCTTTATCTGATCGGATTTTACTTCTTTTTCTTTGGGCGCTAATCTTTTATTCCTTTCTGCCTTAATCTGGTCGTTTTTGGATTCTTGTTTTGAATGAAAAAAATTTCTGCCTTTTTTCAATGAAAGTTTGAATTGTTGTTCATTTTTTTAAACGAGTTTTGGGTTTGGATTGGATGATTTCAATCCTTTTATTGAGCTTCGGGGTATGCAATAAGGTGAATTTTTTAGTTTATTCGTATATTTGTTTATGTTCAATGGCTTAATGGGTTAACTCAAGATCTGATTTTATTCTAACTGTTTTCCTCTAAGTTGGTTTTTGAATTGTTGTTGAATGAACCATGTATAGTTGTGATCTTTATGCCTTGCTTGAGAACCATTGTATAGTTTTCGAATTATTTTTACCTGCTTAATAAACTTTGTGCATTTCTTTCACTTAATTGCACTCTATTTCATCCATCATTTAGCATTTTATTAGTGGAAATCATTCAATTAATAATGAAGAATTTTTGAGTAGGAAAAGTTTCAAACAGTGCAAGTCTTGAAGGCAATCCTTTGTTAGATGATGTTCTGCAGTTGCTCTTTGTGATATCTTGATTGTTTTTTTATGGTCATCAGAAATCTGCAAATAGTTTCCCTTTTTCTGCCGTGAATTTTTAATTTGTATCTCTTTAATGTTTATTAGTTTCTCTTCTTGATGCAGACTCGATAAAACTAAATTTTACGTTGTAGGAGCCGGAATCTTTACTGGAGTTACTGTAGCATTGTACCCAGTCTCTGTTGTAAAAACCAGACTTCAGGTTGCTTCGAAGGACACTGTTGAGAAAAGTGCAGTTTCTGTCATCAGAGGCTTGTTAAGAACCGATGGAATCCCTGGTCTATATCGAGGGTTTGGAACAGTCATCACTGGTGCGATTCCTGCCAGGGTTATATTTCTTACTGCTTTGGAAACTACAAAAGTGACTGCTTTCAGAATGATTGAACCATTTAAATTGTCTGAACCTACACAAGCAGCTATAGCGAATGGAATTGCTGGAATGACAGCATCACTATTGTCTCAAGCTGTTTTTGTTCCGATTGATGTGGTCAGTTGTTCAGATTCATACACGAGAAATTTACTCTCTACTATCTTAATTTAGTATTTTCTTCTATTATATAAGCAAAATTACATGCCCACATACACGCTGCTGTGTGAGCTTATTTCAATGAAATTATTCTCCCTCTCCCGAAGAAGAAAAATTTGTTTCGTGGTTTTGTCTATAAGTAAAGCCTTTCTAGTTAAGATCTTGCTAGAAGTTTGGCATAGTGGGTGTCTGGATGACTGTTCTCCAGACTCTCTTTGAAATGCTCTAATGCAGAGTAAAATTCACTCCATCTATGGCTGTCCTCCTTATTTCTCTTTTTTCTTTATCTAAACTGGAAAAGAGATGTTGCATAAGTAAATTATTTCTTATGAATTATGCTCAGATTAGTCAAAAGTTGATGGTCCAAGGATACTCGGGCCATGCAAAATACAGTGGGGGTTTGGATGTTGCTCGTAAGGTTTTAAAGTCTGATGGAATCCGAGGGTTATACAGAGGATTTGGTCTATCAGTCATGACTTACTCTCCATCCAGTGCTGTATGGTGGGCTAGTTATGGTTCAAGCCAACGTGTTATCTGGAGGTCAGTTGTGATTGTTTTTGTTGTTATCTTCTCTCCTTTGTCTTTGGCTGGGTTAATTTTCTTTGTTGAGAAAAGGGTTGATGTGCTTTTAGAGCTGGTTACCTTAGGTCTTTGTGCAACAACTAGTCATCTTTAGATCAAACAAGACACACTTATTCTTTAGATCAAATGTAGGCTTCCAAAGGGGATAGTTTTTTCTCCATTATGATTTTGGGTCTGGCTGAATTTCTGGCATTTGATTCATTCTTCTTAATTTAGCTCTGCATTACCATGTGTACTACTTTTTGGGCAGGTTCTTAGGCCATGGCACAGACCTTAAGGAAGCTGCTGCTCCTGACACATGGAAAATAGTGTCAGTGCAAGCTGCAGGAGGAATCATTGCAGGTGCTACAGCTTCCTGCATCACAACTCCATTGGATACTATTAAGACTCGCTTACAGGTATTCTTAGGACCTTATTGACATTAATCCTTCTTGGAATTTTTCTTCCTCTCTGTGATGGCTGCTTCATGTGTCTTGTTCTTGTTCTTCTTCCTTTTTTTACTTTTGCATTGTGGTTTAGATAATTCCATTTTCGAAATTGGAATTATATGTTCTTTTGACAATTTACATGGTGTTTTAGTATTACAACATTTTTCTGTCTGATTGCAATAGGTAGACCACTTTCTGTGAAGGTTGAAAGACCTTTTTCCTTTTCAAGATTCATATAATGGTTTGTTTGGTCTCCATACTGCATTTTTGCGTGTGTGTGTGTGTGTTGTTATTCATTTTGAGTTGCATTTTGCCGTTCTAGGTGATGGGGCATGAGAAGCGACCCTCTACAAGACAAGTTGTAAAAAACTTAATTGCAGATGATGGTTGGAAAGGTTTGTACAAAGGGTTGGGTCCAAGGTTCTTCAGTATGTCAGCATGGGGCACCTCAATGATATTGTCATATGAATACCTGAGTATGGATCCTTTCCTCTCTTTTATTATTTTTACTTTCGTTTAATGTTAAAATGAATGATGTGATATGCAAAGCACAAAGACCTTTAATTTCTGGAGTTTGATAATTGAACCTGGTGAAAGTAAATTACTATATGTGTTCTTTAGAGTTAAAACTATTGCTGGTTCTACCATGTTTAAAATAATCATTTGTTCTTTGTAAAATAAGCTTATGCTTTCCATCTTGATGAATTAGTTATAGATCTACATTTTGGATATCCATGACGATAGCTGCTATGAGTCTATTTAATGCTGCCATTCAAATTATAACCTGAACTCAGTCTGAACATGTTTTTGATTTTCTTTCAGAGCGCTTATGTGTGAAAGAGGAATAGAAGTGACCAACACCTGTCAAACAGTTTTGCTTCTTGTTGCATGAAAAGCATAGATTTAGGTCCTAGGCTGGCTGTGAGTCGTTATATTTCTGAAGACAGCTCTGCCAGACAGTCTCAAAGATTATTTTCTTTCATTCTCCAGATCCAGAAATGGCTTGCGATTGTGCAGCAACTATCATTGTCTTCTCATAGAAACCAACTCAATGATTCATTAAACAGATTAGTGACTGATTGTTTAAGAGACACATTGGATCTGGCTAAGATTCTTTCATGCTAGATTTTTTTTTTCTCGTTAGGATAAAATTGCTGACACTTAGAAACTATAACAAGTAGCAAGTGTATCTCTCTTACAAAATTCAACATAAATTGTATGTTTACACAAGATTTTTCATTAGGCGCACAGTTATTCTATCTGATTTTTGTTTTTGGATATTTGAACTTATGTTCTGTTCTCTATCATTTGAAATAATGGAAATAAGCTGTTTCGACGTTTGTGAGCTTGTCATAAACAAATCAACAGTAACTATTTGGTTCTGTTATTCAATAGTTTTGGAAGATGACAAGTCTTGAAGCTACTGCATGATTAAATATGTGAATGAAATTGCCCTTTGTTCTTGGAATGAAACTATCATGGTCAGATGATGAGATTTTCATTGCTTATAGAAAAGCTGCAATCATTATGGCATGTAAGCAGTTAAAAATGTATTGAATTCCCAACTTACAGCAGCTTCTTAATGTTTTATACATAAAAATTTACCAGATATTAGGCTACAACTTGTTCTTTGACTCTTCCTTGTTCCTCTTTCGGACCTAACCTGTCACAATAGAATGAACCAAGCAGCTGATTTTTCTGGTTTTATTCTCTACTGTTATATAGACCAAAGTTCAAATCTTTTGCCGATAAGTAGAAATATGTGAAAATTCTGTTTGAACTCTGTTTAGAGCTGTAGCAAGGCCTCCACTCGTTTATTTACACAACTTCTAGCATTCTGGTGAATTCAGCTTCTAAGTGGTTTTTCCAATACAGCAGAAAAGTACTCATCCTCCATCTTATCAGTCTTTGGTACAACCCTCCACAGCAGCTTTTTGTAGTCTAGCCTGGAAAATTCATTCAAATAGATCTCCAAACCATCCCTTTTACAGAAGAAACAATCCACCCAAAGGAGTCCTTTGGGTCGAAGAACACGGTCCCAATCAAAAAGCACAAACTGGAGAAGTTCTACTCCAATCCAGCCATCCAGGAAAAGTGTAGAATGTATGATGTCGAGTGTGTTGTCAAAGAATGGCAACCTTGAGCCAATTGATAGGTAGAGTGGTAGGAGGCCTCTGAGTGCAATCACCTCATTGAAAGGAGCCCCTAAATTTAAGGTGGCTGATGCGATGGTTACATTTCTTTCCCTCATTAGAGCAGCAAAGGTACCAGTTGAGGGGCTAAAATCGAGTCCAATCCTCATCTCCCCAGACTTCAATCTCAGAACTTCTTCTATGGTGAATTCAGCTGAAATAGATTCATTCATTCGGATTTCCCATCCTCTCTTCGAAAGATCAAAACAATTTGAACATTTGAAGAAGCCTCTTTTGCCCAGTGTTTCATTTGAAACAAGACAGGCGTAATCTTTGCACTTGTAATGACTCCATAAGATATTGGTATCACTAGGTTGAGACCAAAGGGACGAGCTTATAGGAAGCGGATTACTGTAACGTGGAGGTGTTTTAGAGAAGCATCTCCTCCTTGGCAATGGGTCACAGCCATCAACAATAAGCTTCTGAGAAATGTCCCAGTCATCGGGGCACGTCTCATATATCTTATAACTCATGAATCGATCTACATTTGGGGCCATATTGGCACAAGCTGGTCCTACAGATGGACTAATTGCTTCCACCCCGAGGAAGTTTTTCTTCCCAGTTAACCTATTTGGTTTCAATGCAGTGTAGTTATGAAGCTCACCTGAGTTAAAACGATGAGTTGATCCTTCCTCAATTTCACTATCCTCAGGCTCGCTGAAGTCTTCATCCAAAATGCTGATTTCATTGGTACTTGGAGTACTGCCGTACAAACCTGATAAGGCTTCTACAAACTTGTCTAAAGATATGGCAATATGTAGAAGTTGATCAGCAAATTTTGTTAGTGCTTTAGATTCTGGATTTGCAACATGAAGCTGTTCCAGAAGAATTCCCACTTGGCTTTGCAAACTAGAGATCTGATTCGGAAGTGAATGAGGCAAGACAAGCCGGCCTTGGTAGATACTGACCGTGGAGGTGGTGGTTCTGAGGATTGTCTGAGAACAGATGATGTTGGAACTTAAGATTGTGACTGTTAGGCTGATATTGATTGCCAATACAAGCAGACATAGCATTACAGGCAGGGCAGCAGGAAGCCATTTTTGCGATTTAGACACATTTTGTTTCTGCATTTCTTGGTTGAGTTTGTGATCCTGGCTACGTATGAGGAGCTACCATCTATTCCTTGTTCGATCCCAAGAGGACTCAGATTTCCTGGCTCTTCATTTCAGGTTTTGCTCTTTCTGAGGTGTTTGAATTACAAAATGATTTCCCTTTCCCTGCAAATGTGTACAACTTGGAATTTCATTATCTTTGATAATCCCAAAGCGGTAAAGGGTGTTTTCGCTAATGCAGTGATCGGAGATGCGGTTTTGAATTGCACTTGAAGCAATGATTAGTACATTGGAAGCTCTTTCAATGCCCAGCAATATAAAGAAACTACTTGGTCAATGTAAATTAGCAGACTTTTTTATGCAATAATACAAACACGATGTGAAGCATCACATGAGGCTGTAGAGAGGAGTATGAACAAATTGCTGCTTAATCGAATGACATTACTTGGAACTTGGGGAAGAGAAAAGTAAAAGATTAAGCACTGAGGTTGATCCATGCCACAGGAATTCCTAAATATCATCCTCAGCTAGGCAGTTTCAATAATTAAAGAAAAACAAGAATGCAAGCTAAAGCACATTATAAACAGTTAAATTCTAGCGAGTTGACATTTGTCTTTACAAATTAGTGAGAAACAAGTTCATTGGACTTCTCGAACCAAAAGAACTTCCAAGCAGTAGGGTATGTTCCCATCAAAACTTGAGCCAAAATACAACCACGGTTAAAGTAGAGCTGCTACAATGACTGAGCAGAACATGGTTTGGACAAAGGTCAAGCAAAATGCAGAAGATTCTGGTGGCAGATCATGTATTCCCAGATTCCTTCTCCCTCAAAATTACAAAAAAAAAAAAAAAAGAAATAATGACGTGAAAAGAAGCATATGGCTCCTTCCGACATTTCAAAGGGAGAAGGGGATCTTATCCAGATTTTACTGCAATGGACAATGAGACTCTGGTAATTCAAAGAGGCAAAAATTTCATTTCACAGAACTATCTGATGATCTGAGACCCACACAAGAAATGCATCTGACAAACATAGTAATCAAAGTGCATCTCCGTTACACACTTGGTTCACCGTCATCATCTTCACCATCCTCACAATCCTCATTGTTGTCTTCATTATCATTTTCATTGTCATCGTGGTCATTAATGTCATCATTCCCAGAGTCATAGCAATCATCATGATTGCCATCATCTTTTCTACCTAGCTTGGCATATTCCTCAAGTGATGTTGAAGGAAATATTTCACCCACCCTACCATTTTCTTTGTTGGCTGTGGTTTTTGATGAACCTTTAGATTTACTTTTGTTCATCTGTTACAATAAAGAAGGTCAACATTATAGCACTTGGCAGAATAAAAGTACTAGAAAATAACAAAAACATTAGAGAATGGATCCTGCTGAAATAATTAACTGTGCCAAAGAGATTGTATGTATCTTAGCAGTTATGAAATATGATATTCATAGCCAATGCAGATATATCAAGAATAACTTCAACTTCAATTATATATGTCTTACTCAGCTAAGCACTTCAGACAACTAATGACAAAACAGATGTTTAACTTTTGGGGGTGAAATGTAATTCATCGACAAATAGAGTCGCTTTTAGCTTTCAATACTTGCCAATAGAAAGGTATGCAGGAGCTATATTTAGCACATTCAAAAGCAATGCCGAATTCCAAATGCAAGGAGTTTTGCAAATCCAAGTTATTTTTTTGCCTTGATGATAGAAAAAATGCAGAATCAACCTTGATTCACGTTCTAATTTTAAGTAATGTATTTAAAAGAAAATATGTGCCTATACTATTTTTCTTTCAAGCAGAAGCTGCAGAGGCATCCTGAGAAGTGTGTGAGCAGAGTTATGCACACTCTGCCTTGTCAAACTAACAAAGATTGAATTGTTATTTAGACAAGGATATATATTTCTTCTGAAATACATAACAGCTAGCAGTTTAGGTTAAACAAATTTTATATCAAACAAAGGGAGCAACACTCAAGTTATTGAATGACGATGCCTTTGGGGTCAGACACATACCCTTCCCCCGGGAGGGGAGGGGGTGCTGGGTTCTGTGGGTCTTTGAAGGTTCAAGAGCCCTCACCCCATTGGATCTTGTTAAACAAATTTTATATCAGACAAAGAGAGCAACATTCAAGTTATGGAATGGCCATGCCCTTGGGTTAGATACATGTCCTTCAGGGGGGCTGTGAGTCTTGAATGTTCAAGAGCCCTTGTCCTATTGGATCTTTCAAAAAAGAACCATGTCAGCTCAACAAAGATCTGCTCAATTCAAGAAAGCCTTATATAACCTTTAAGCATTTAACTAATCTTTCCTTCTTACGTTAATATCAAGAAGATATTGTTGAACCTAGAAGTGTATACCACACTGAGCTCAATTCATGATCCAGTTTAAAAACGACACCCAGGAGAACTGATCAACAAACATGCCTTCATGATAGACAAATTTGACCTCCATCAACCAGCCCTTAGTTATACTATTTACCACACAATAGCCTACAATAAGGAAGAAGACTGAAATCTCATATTGAAAAGGTAATACCTTCCACACTTTTTTTATATTAGGATTTTGGATCCACCATGAAATTATATCAGACACCATCAAAAGAATAATTAATTGGATAAAACTCCTAATTATTAACCATAAACATGAACCATCTCACAAATACTATCATCAAACAGGTAATTCTTTCCTATGCCAAGCCGTCTGTTTATCAATAGCAAAGTAACTACCGGAGACAAATACGTCTTTACCACATAAATAACCTATATAATTTAATACAAGAAGAGAATTATTCTGAGACACTTACAGCACGTAACAGTGTCCGCCTATCCCTTTCTCGAGCATTCTTTATTGCCTGAAACAACATTGATCAAAGTCAAGTATCAGTGCAAAATTAACACCTAATATGCATATTATTAACTCATAAAAAACAGAAGATATTGCTCCAAACCAACCTCCTCAAGCATCTTTTGCTCTTCTTCAACATCAGCAGAGTCCCTATACAAATTACACAGTCAACACATTCAATGTTCAAGCTTTTGCTCAAATATATGCATTGGAGATGAGAAATCAAAACAAACCTTCCAACTATTTGATCAACACGACAACGGCACTTTGCACATACTTTTTGCTCCTTAGCACAACCTAAAACAAAAATCCATCCCAATGATCAAATGAACAAAAATATCCACACACACAAAAAAAAAAAAACATTCCCTAATAAAAAGAAACACCCTTTGACATACATTTTGCTCAATTGAACTTTAAACGTTTCCACGGGAAAGACTTCCTTCTCTTTTTCCAGAGAAAACGCTTTCCATCAAAACAAACAGAGAACTAATAACAGAAGAAACTAACCAGAACAAAGATTATGATAAGCTTGACGCACATTACGTTTCGAGCAAAGCTGACTGCGAAAAACCCAAACAAAAAAAAGAAAGAAGAAAAACCATTAAAAGGATTCACAAAAACTTCAAAAAAAAAAAAAACCAATTGTTTTTGGGTCTAAAAGAAAAAGGTTACCATTTAGCAGGCTCAGCTATGGGTTTATATTTGCCGTAACGGCGTTTCCAATCAATTTGTTCTTTACATCGAGGACACACTCCGGTTATTTCAGAGAAAGGCTTTAGCTTCCCTCCAACTTCCTATTAAAAAACATGGAATTTTTAGTAATTGAAATAAAACGGTAGAAAGTTCAGTAGTATTCATTTACCGTCTCGTTGATTTTAATGGCGGCGTTTGGCTTCCAGGCATAGCGGTTTTGATGCTTCGGTGGCCCTCGCCGACTGCTCATTCTATTGCTTGCTGGCCGCCGACTGAGATAGTCTTAGCTTATGCTAGGAATTCCCCCCCTTTTTCTTTAATGAATTATTTGGAATTCTATTAACCTAAACACTGTTCTCTTATGTTAGTAATATTTGTTTCTTTTTATTTTCTTTTTCTATTTAGAAAGTTTGTTAAAAGAATAAGAAAACAAAATTATATTGATTAAAATCTAACAAATTTTGGCTAAGATTATAACTCAGCATCTAAATATGTTTGTTCATGTGACCTACCAAGAAAAAAAAATACTTGTGTTTGTTCTTTATAAAATAAAATTATGCAAATATTGAAAAAAAAAAAACATTGATAAAAGAATAGAATATTAATATTACAGAATTATATCCAAATATTGAAAAAAAAAGAAAAAAATTCTTTCCAAATACATTTTTTAAAAAATTATTTTATTTCATTTCCAATGTAGAAATTATTTTCTTTTATGTAAAGTTTTAAATAAAATAGTTTTAGCTCATTAAAACATTGCCTAGAAATCCAAAGAGAATAATTCGAGTTGGACATATTAGATTTCGTAAGGATTACTATAATTCAAATGTAAATTCAAAATTACAATATCAATAGATGGTAATATTTTAATTTTGAAAGAAAATATTTAACTTAAATTTAATGGTTAAAATTATTAAATTTTATCTAAACATTAAGAACCTATTTGGTTTATTTTTTATTTTTAATTTAAAAGCTATTATGAAGCTTTTATGAAAAACAATAATTTTTAAAATTAAACTAAAGTTTTTAGTAAATTATTTGATAAAATAAATTATATAAACTCTAATTTTGATTAAAATTACTAAAAAGGATATTCATGACATCTTCATTCACCTAATAAATTAAAGTGAAATAAATTTGCTTTGAGTTTATATACGATTTTTAATATTAAAATAAAAAAATCTATAAAAAAAGGAATAATTTTCAAACTTATATAATAATAATAATAATAAAATTTTTGGTGAAGATAGAAAAACTTTAAATAGTGTTGAGTTTTGAATTTTGGATATTCTTTTTTCTTAATCTTTAAAAGTTGTAAAGAGAGTTTTTTTTTTAAAAAAAAACACACTAACTTTTCAAGAAATATTCCCCTTTCTCATTCAATCTCCCTCTCCCCTCTCTTTTTTTGCAAATTATGTTTTTCCAATGCAAAATCACGATCTCTAAAAGATTCAACAATAAAATAATAAAATCTAAAATTTTTTTATTCTTACAAATATTAAAAAAAAGAAAACTTAAAATTAAAATATATATTCAGGTAATGATTAAAGGTAAAGAAAACCCAATCACTATCTAAATATGCTTTTAAGCATAATTTTGAATTCAAGCTCAACAATATTCCTTGCCCAATAGCATTTTTCAAGTACCTTAATATCCTAAATGCTGCATACAAATGTTTTTAACTAGGTCTATCCATAAATTGTGATAGGACATGTACAACACTATATCTATTCTTGTGAAAGTCAAATATAGCAATTTCCAAACTAGCTATCTATACTTTGTTGCTTTTGCTAAAAACTCATCCGTAATAGTCTTGCAAAGTTTCTGATTGTAATCCATGGGTGTGGAAATTAGTTTTGAACCAAGTAATCCGTGCTCGTTTAACATATCCAATGTGTACTTTCTTTGACAAACCATAATTCCTTTTGCTAATCTAGCAATTTCAAGTCCAAGAAAGTATTTCAAGCTACCAAGATCTTTGAGTTTAAACTAAGAACTCAAGTAATCTTTCACTTCAGCTGCCTATTGAACTAAAGTACTACCAATAACAATATCATTTGCATATATTAGTAAAGCTACTAATTCTCCATTACTAGTAGATTTTGTAAACAAACAGTAATCAAACTGAGATTGAATGAAGCCATATCTAAGTAAAGATTCTATAAACTTTTGATTCCACTATCGAGAAGCCAGTTTTAGGCCATATAAAAGACTTGTGAAGCCTACAAACAAACTTAGAACTAGTGAGATACTTCCCTTTGACCTAATATCCTTGTGATAAATCCATATAAACCACTTCATCCAAATCACCATTCAAGAAGGCATTGTTGATGTCTAATTAAGTTAAAAACCATCCTTTAATAGTTGCTAGAGTAAGAAATACTCTCACAACAGTATCTTTCCTTCTAATTATATCCTTTAGCCACTGATCTAGCTTTAAATCTTTCAATACCACCATCAGCATGCATTTTCACCTTATAAACCCATTTGTAGCCAATGGAATGTGCGACAAGTGGTAAACAAACTATACTCCACTTACCATTAGTCTTTGAGGCATCTAATTCAGTTTCCATAACCTCTCTCCAGTGATGATAATGAATGGCTTGATGATAATGTTGAGGCTTTTGGGTTTGAGAAAGAGAAGTAGTAAAATTTCTATGTTTAGCAGACAATTGACTAGAGGATGGAAAGTTAGTAATAGGATGTGTGGTAACAGCCTAAATGAGACAATAATTGTCAATAAATGCAAGCTAGTATTGTTTTAACTTTATGAGTTTACTAACATAAACGAGATTAAAACTAAATGAAGGCACATAAAGAACATAGGTAAGAGTAAAAGAATTTGAGATATGGACAATACCTATGTGAGGAATAGATGCCTTAGCATGATTTGGAAGATGAGCAAACATATTATTTATAGGCTTTGAGGTACTAAAGCGTTTCAAGGAACAAGCAATGTGATCAGATGCACCAATATCAACTATCAAAGTCTTGTGATTTAACATAATTGAATTGAAATGGAAAGACTTATTTGTAGAACTATTGTTTACTCTAAAAGAATTAAGAATGATACCTGCTACTATGGGGTTCACTAGAGTAGGTTTGGTTTGCTGAGTAGTTGGAGGTAAGTATGAACCATCACTGTCATCACCATCATCACTGATGAGTACCATTAGTTTCTAAACTTGATTCCTGATGAGACTTATTTGAGACATCGTGCTAGTTGATTCCTCTCCCTGATCTGTTTGATTAGAGCTCGCAACACTATTAACAGTAAGTCTATTTTTCTTGAAATTAGGCTTTCATTTAGTAAAATAAAAATTCTCAAGAAATTTTATAAAATGGTAACACTTCTCCTTTATATGACTTTTCTTGCCATAGTGGCTACAAATTAAATTACTTTTATTCTTTCCTTTGTGATTATTAACTACCATCATAGCACTTGAGTCACATACATATTCCTCTTAGACTCTACTCTTAATACAAGACTATAAGCCTTGTCCAAGGATGGAAATGGTTCCATAAGGATGATATGTAATCTAAGTGCAGAGTAAGATTCATTAAGTCTGTTCAGAAACCTAAACATACAATCCTTTTGATTTTGTGCAACATACTTTTAGAACATTTTTAATTACATCATCCACATTCATAGTGTGGTAATGGACGATAACTTTTCAACTCTTCCCAAATAGTATTGAGTTCAGTGAAATAAAAGTTTATTGACCTTGTTCCTTGAATTAGATTGCTTAACATGTATTGCAAATTTCATATGCAAGTATCATCGAGTTGAGAGAACCATTGTTTCAATGTCTCCCAAAGCTCTATTGCAGAGTTCATGAAATATTGTCAAACACAACTTTTTTAAAAGACTATTGTAAATTTTTTTTTCGTTCTTTTTGATTTACATATTATATAAATTTATTATTTATTATGAATATTTTGATTATTGATTAAATTCAATGTATTAATTTTAAAAAATTTTAACTCTTATATTTTTTTTATCTTTTAACGCCCAACAAAAGTTGGTTAGCTCCACCCCTATTGCCTAGTGGAGAGATAGTGAGAATAAGGTTAGAGAGGATTAAATTAAAATGGTAAACCACTCTTTAAGTTGAACTTGAAACTTTAATTAATGTTGGCACATGCTCATTATTTTTGAATATTTTTAATCTAAAGTAATTTCTTATATTAAGATGAATATCTATCTATCTATATATATATATATAACTGTATTAAATTTTGTTGTATGTTAATATGTAAAACATAAAAAATCATGTAATAGAAAGAGTTTTTTGAAAGTGAAAATTGAGGTATGAATTTATGTACAAAAAAACTAAAATGATTAAAGAAATAATATTGAAAGAAAGCATTTAAGCATTGAAGAAACCAGAAAAGTAGTAAATAATGAGCTTTTCATATCCGGAGAATCAAGTAAATTTACTTGATTGGGCCAGTGAATTCCCCAGAAAGTGAACGATTCATGGTATAGCCTCAAAATGTTTCAAGGCATTTGTGGATATGGGTTGCAGTTGTGTCTACTATATATATATATATATAGATATATCCAAATAAATGAGAAACGATTTAATGTTGCCTAGCAGAGGAAGTATTACTAATTTCTCCCAAGGCATACATTTTAGATTATGAAATTCTCTTCTAATTTTCTAGTTTTAACGGTTTGAAGTTTGCCCTTGTGTATCCAACGGTTAATACATCTGACTAACTTATATTGCGAGGCTAAAAAGTATAAAGTTAATTACAAGAATAAGAAGGGAAAAAGGTTTTTGGTTCCTCACCCGATCAAGGGCCATGGCTTTGTCCTGAGCATACTTGGTTTTTCAGAATTGGCGTCTGAATGTGATTATTTTACTTTTTATATTATTATTTTTTATCAATAAAAGAAACAGCGTGCGGTGGAGTAAAGACAAATGGACTGTATCGGACTATCATGGTTTCTACACGATTGTGATGGATAATATGTACTGCTAGGCTGTCAAATTTAAAAGCACATAACATGACAAAAGTCTAGCTGTTTCCAGCAAACAAATGCAATCTAATTCATCACAAATGCGTTGATTTCATAAATTTCCTACTTGCTTCTCTTTTTCCTATACTCCGATCTCTTGCGCTGCTACAAAATCCTCATCATCCACTATGGGAGACGCTTTGCGTTCTCTTCTACACTTTTTGAAGGTTTTTAAGCAAAAATTAGGCAAGAAGAAAACCCAAAAAAGTGAACCAAAACCCGTCCGTATGCCGAGTCCAGAACTTCCAGAAGACATTTACCGTCCGTTTTCACTAGCCGAGATCAAAGCTGCTACCAACAACTTCCATCAAGGCTCCCTTATTGCTGAAGGTGGTTTTGGATCCGTATACTGGGGGGCTGTCAATGATGGAACCATGGTTGTTGCTCTCAAACGTCTCCGATCGCGATCATTACAAGGACTTACCGAGTTCCAAAATGAGGTACAGTTGCTGTGCCAGTTGCGCCATCCACATCTCGTCTCTTTCATCGGGCTTTGCCATGAGCAAAATGAAATAATCCTTGTGTATGAATATATGAGCAGAGGGTCACTGTATTATCAACTCCATCGTAAGGGTTGTGTTCCACTCGGTTGGAAACACAGGCTACAGATATGTATCGGTGCAGCGCGTGGATTACATTACCTGCACACAGGAGTAAAGCATGTTGTATTCCACCGTGACATCAAGAGCTCAAACATTCTTTTAGATGACGAATGGTCGGGTAAGCTTTCCGATTTCGGGTTGTCGAAAATGGGTCCCACTAGCATGTCAAAAGCCTTGATAAGAACAGAGTCGAGAGTGGTGGGCACCCTCGGATATTTGGCTCCGGAATACATGCTTCATGGGTTACTAACGGAAAAAGCTGACGTCTTCTCGTTTGGGGTCCTTTTATTTGAAGTTCTTTGTGGTAGAACAGTCTATGATGCAACATTACCAAAGAATCAACAACGCATACTTGAGTGGGTTATTGAATTCGTAAAGGAAGGAACCAATTATCATGTCATTGACCCGTACCTCAAGGGGACGATAGCTCCAGAATGTTTCAAGCAATATTTGGAAATCGCTTGTAGTTGTGTCCACCACGAGGGAGATAAACGGCCAACAATAGGCGAGGTGGAGGTCATGCTAGAGCTTGCCTTAGAGTTGCAAAAGCAAGCAGATTCTAAAATGGAGAGCATCAATCCTCATGGTCAATATATGTATGAAGAAGCATCATTTCGTGTCAGTGTTAGCGATCTTGATCTTTATGGATATTATCATGGTAGTGGATGCTCATCAGAGACAGATAGCAATTGTGATATTAGTTAAATACTTATTGGAGTCGGATAACAATCTTGTTGAAGCTTGTGGCTGACTTGTCCATCTGAGTTGGTTTGCAGCTTAAGTTGCATGTTCTGCTGTTATGATCACATCAGTCAAGCTTCTGCTCTTATGTTTAGTAAGTTTCTGGTTTTGGGGATTCCAAGTTAGGACCCCTTAGCGTGTCAAAAGCTTTGATAAGAATAGAGTCGCAAGTGAAGGGTACTTTAGGATACATATATCCAAAATATTACAGAGCCGAGTATCTGTCAGAGAAATCTGATATGTTTTGCTGTAGAAAACCAATTGTCTTTGATATGAATCGGAATCACCCACATCTGGCTACACACATGGGCTTGTCAGTGCATTGAAAATGGAACCATTTATCATATCATCGATCCACATCTAAAGGGGCCCCAGAGTGCTTAAGCAATTTGTGGAGATTGCTTTTAGTTGTGTCTGTGTTAGGGGAAATGAGCGACCATCCATGGGTGAAGTGGAGGTGACAGTACTAGAGCTCGCATTGGAACTGCAAACGAAAGCAGGCTCCGAAATGGAAAGTATCAATCCTTGTGGCGAATTCCTTTACGAAGATGTATTATTTTGTGCACCCGAAAAGCAATAGATTCTGATAAAATTTCTTATGTTGATAGCAAGCACAGCAGTTGGCGGTTCACTGCCAGGCATTGAAGAATGAAGACACACAATATGTATGCTTCTAATCGAAGTAAGTTTACTGTGACTATACACACCCTTTGTTTCAAAGAATGTTAATTTCTTCTTCCAGTGCTTTTCAAAAGTTTTCTCTGAAGATCTTACTTATATTTTATGCATGCCATTGCTAGATTTTTAATTTGTTAGCCAATTACAGATTAGGACAATCAACATTCAATTCCCATATCAAGCCCCAAGGGGTGTAGAGCATAGAAAATTCTACGCAAACCGTTGTGCCATTTGGTTCACCAGTACATGTCTTGTGTAGTGTTTTTAAGTCTCTTACCAGGAAAACAAATTATTTCACCGCAATGAAGCAGCCGTACTTGATTATTATGAACATTTGCATCATGCAAATGGAGCTGACAGGAGGATTACTAGTCATAGAGATGCAGAGTTCCTCTGCTGCACAACTCACTCAACAATGAATTCACACGCCAATTTGCTTGATTCATTACTTTTTCTTCAGTTTAGTTCTGTAGCGAAAAAACCAATGATAAAAGAATAATATAGATATTAATATTGCAGCAGCATTATATCCAATATTAAAAAAAGAAGAAGAAATTTCTTTTACTAAAACTCTTTCCAAATACTTTTTTTCTAAAATTATTTTATTTTTATTTCCAAAGTAGAAATTATTTTCTTTTATATAAAATTTCTTTCAAGTATAGTTGTCCTTTCTCATGAATAAAAAGGGATCAAACTTAATGGGAACTTTTTTCTTGTCTAAATAATATTCTCTCTTACTATTACTTTTTAAAAAATTTTCTTGTATCCAAACAAATAATCAGTTTGTTTTATTTTAATTGAATTTTGTCAAAACGATGATGGTGAAAGGGATAAAATCTTGAAAGAAGAAAAGAGGGTTGAAAATGGTGCAACAATTGTGAGGAAGGGAAAGGTAGACTGTCCTTGTAGTTCAACTCTTTCTTCCTCATTATTTTTTCTTTTTTTGGTATTTTTAAATTTTAAGGAACTCAAGAATAGTCCCAGAAGGTTGCATTCATTTAATTAGGACTATTAAGCCCATATGACTCAAATCTTAATTGTTGGATTGAAACTTGCATTCATGAAAAACAGATACAAACCAAATCAATCTAACTAAGCCCAAAATTGAAAAGGCCTGAGTAGAAGAAGAGTCCCATTGACCCAAATAAATTGAGTCTAAATAGGCTCAGAAATAAGATCAAACCAAGGTGAAATGTTAAAAGTCAAATTAATTCCAATTAAGCATACAAAGTTTTTGTTCAATTACCTGGACAAAATAGGTGGGGTGAGGGTACAATGACTTTTTCCATATTGTATTGTTTTGGATAAGAAACATGTGGGTCGGGGCTTGGCATCTTGGAATAAAAGTTGGGAATCTCTTTTAGTCCTGGACAGGACAAGAACGGTCGTGGTCACTGAAAATGAAAATTGGGAATCGCTTTTAGACCCAGAGGATCACGGATCAAGATTTCATCTTTTTCGGTATTGTACATGAACGGGGCTTGGAGAGTGGCGTGCTTGAACCTTGTAGCAGCACTTACCAAATGTGTAGTTGGAAGCAGCCCGAATAACACTTGACTTGGACTTCACCAAACTGTACTAAAGCATTTTTACAAATATACTTCTACGATGTGTTATGCATATTTGAGACTGATACATGGTTAACTATGGATACACTACCTTTCAGGGTGTTACATGGGTGATAAGAGCAAGTCAAGCAAGATTTCTCCTTGATGAGATAACACCACAAGTATCAATCTAAATCCGAACTTCACTACTGCCCACATGGGAGATCCTTCACGTTTTCTTTGTAGTTTTTGCAAAGTCTTTACCAAAACAACAGGCAATAGAAAATCAGAAACAAGTGAGGGAAATGAACAACACGTTAGGACACGATATCCAGCAGCTCTTCCCGAGGAAATTCACCGTCAGTTTTCTCTAATCCAGATCAAAGCTGCTACCAGCAACTTTCATCCAAACTTGGTCATCGGTATAGGTGGTTTTGGAAATGTATACAAAGGGATTCTTGACGATGGAAACTTGGTTGCTGTCAAACGCTTGAATCAACATTCAGCACAAGGATTCAATGAGTTCCGAACCGAAGTGCAGTTGCTCTGCCAGCTGCGCCACCGACATCTCGTGTCTCTTTTCGGGTTCTGCAATGATAATGACGAGATGATCCTTGTATACGAACTCATAAAAAACGGGACACTTCGTGATCATCTCTATGGTTCTGATTGTGATCCACTCCCATGGAAGCAGAGGCTAGAGATATGTATTGGTGCAGCTCGTGGATTACATTACCTTCATACGGTAGCAAAGCAAGCAGTAATTCACCGTGACGTCAAGAGCAGCAATATTCTTTTGGACGATAAATGGGTTTGTAAGCTTTCTGCTTTCGGATTGTCCAAGATGCGTCCCCGTAGCACGTCAAAAGCTTTGAAAAAAATAGACTCACAAGTGAAGGGTACTTGGGGTTATTTGGATCCAGAGTATGCCAGAGGAGGTGGACTTACCGAGAAATCTGATGTGTACTCATTTGGGGTTGTTTTATTAGAGGTGCTGTGTGCTAGAAAGGCAATTGATACAAAGTTGAACGAGCATCAAGTAAATCTAGCTCAATGGGCCCGTCGGTGCATAGGCGGAGGAACCGTTTATAACATCATTGATCCATATCTAAAGGGGAGGATAGCTGTAGAGTGTTTCAAGATATTCGTGGACATCGCTTATTGCTGTATCAGTGACGAGGGAAATACTCGGCCTGAGATGGGTGAAGTGGAGTTGATGCTAGAGCTTGCATTGGAGATGCAAGAGAAAGCAGATTCCAATATGGTGGATCTTGATCCTCATGGTGAATGTAAGTTTGGAGAAGTATCATTTTGTATTCCTGTTTCTGACCACAGTTTGTGTGTGGACAGTCACAACAGTATATCACTTGGATCTTTAGATATTAGTTATAGTTCTGAAGCAGCATGTAACCAGGTTTTGGATGGCTCAAGTTTGATAGTGGAGCAGACCAGTGATAATCTTGGCCGATGTCAATCTTCCACTAATGGAAGTAGGATGGATTCGGAGGGTCTAGATAGCCTTGCCGAGCTTTGTTGGGAATCAAGATGCTCGGTGGTTGAAGATATGAGAAACCGTATGACAAGTGACCATCTAGCCTGTCTGGCTATGTCATCCAAGAATTTCCTCGAACCTCTAACTAAATTTCTGAGCAGTGCCCATGATTTACATGATATAAGAGCCCAGAGAGGTGGACTTCAGTTGTTATTAACATTTCTAAGCCAAAACAGGTACTACTATGTTGTTGGATGTTCAGTATGGTGGCTACAGTACCTTGTCTTGATGTGAAATTTCATTAGTTTGGAATAATTTTTATTGTATATTGTAACTTTCTATCACAAAACTGCATTCTTTTTTATCATTTAAAGCTTGTTTCAGTGATGGGCATTATCCATTACTTAGCCCAATGTTCCAGTTGTTCATGAATTTTTTTGTTATATGGCGGCTTATCGTGATGTTTCTTGCAGGAGTGGCATTCGAAACTTGCACGAAGATACATATAGCCTATTATCATTGTTTCTCCACTCAAAAGTAAAGAAAGAGGCTCTAGACATCATAGAAGTGTTGTCTGGCAATACTAGTTGTAGATCTAAGATTGCTGCATCTGGTGCTCTTGCTTCCATTTTCGGTATTCTTGACTCCAACATCAGAGATTTCAAAGAACAAGTCATTAAAATTATGTGCAATCTGTCTTCACGTGATGCTTCTTGTTCCAACTTGGTGTCTTCGGAGTGCATCCCAAAACTGGTTCCATTCTTAAACGATCCGACTTTAGCAAAGCACTGTATAATCGTGTTGAGAAACTTGTGCAACAACAACAAAGAGGCTAGGGCCTCTGTTGCTGAAACCAGTGGATGCATTGCTTCTATTGTTGAATTACTTGGGACTGGCCATTATAAGGACCGGGAGCAGGCGGCGGCTGTTCTCCTTGGATTGTGCGCTGAAAGTGTTCAATATTGTCAATTGGTGATGGATGAGGGATGTATCCCTGCACTTGTGGATGTAGCCGAGAATGGGAGTGAAGAAGGAAAGGCAAGCGCGCTGGAATTGCTTCGGCTCCTCAGAGATATTGAGCAAGAATGCTTCGAATCTGACATCGCCACAATATCTCAAGATGCCAACAACTGTCCCAAAGGAAAGAAGTCTCACAAGACATTGTTTGGAGTGAAATCTCTGAGATTCTCAAAATCGATATAAGACAAAAAACGAAGAAATGACACTGGGATTTTCTGCTCTCCTGTAGACAGTGGTTACCCAATATTCTGCCTGCTAAGATTGTTTGTTTTTGCAATGAAAATGTGCTTGTTACAAGTGATGGCATCTTCTTAGGACAAGCAATACAGTTAGAAAATTGCACAACATGCTTCACCAATTTTGCATTAAACAATGACTTAATTCGGACTCTTTTGGGAACAATACCCCTTTATCTCAACTTTGAGCCAGAGATAAAGAATTACAAACAGCTGTCTCACTCTTCTTTTTGGGGTTCTTTTCCATTCTTTTGCTTTGCAAAAGCTCAATCTTATCACGGTTTTAAATCAACTTTATCTCGATCCTCTTTTACCAAAGATATTTCACGACATTGCTATCTAGAACACCTAACGGAATAGTTCGAAAGAAGCCTCGTCTTGATATTGGGAAAAATTCATCGATCAATTGCGATAAATAAAGTTATTACTGCAACTGATTGGAGTGCCATTTGCAGAATTTCAAGAGGAACAACTCATTAAGTTTGCTTTCTCATTTTGAATGCGCACTGTGTAACAGGTTTGAAATTCATTAATTACTACTTGGATTAATCATTATTAATCCTTGCAGTCGATCGAAACATAATTAATTGCTGCTAAGATTTTTCAGCTTCTTCCTACAATAAGCCGCTTTGTCATCTTTGGGGTTGTCCAAGAAGCCATTAAACATTACTCAGTTTTTGGCCTTGAAATGAACTTGTCGTGGGGGAATTTGATGACCCTTTTTTTTTTATCTAACAACAGTAATTCGAAAACTTATTCCCCAAAAGTCTTGCATTTCTAACTTAATTCCCAGTCACCACTGGTTTCTTGCCACTATATCTCTGTCTTTGCCTGTTGCCGTATTGTTGTAGGTTATGAGAACAGCTGGTAGGGGCTTAAGAACAACAAATAGACTTACCAAGTTAATAACTTTGAGGTGGTCGAACTGTTGCATTTTCTAAGAGAGAAAAATTTTATGGCTCATGGGTTGGCTTAAAATTTGTTGCTTGCTTGGTTCTGAGGGGATGGCGGTAAAAATTTCGCTTGTTTGCACTTGCAGGGTAGGTGTTTGATGTTTTGTTTGAATAGGATTAATATGCTTTTGGAGCTGTCTCAAATAAGGAGTTGCAGCTTCTATTCCTAGTCGAGTTTAGTTGCATTTTGGGTTGTGGAGTGAATGCTAGTGCTGCTTTCGCTTGCTTTTTAATATGGATAGCATTTTGGGACACTAGTTGAATTTGCCAAAATCATTCCCTTTCTTGTTGCGTTTCTATTTCTTGCTTTGCTTGATTCGAATCTGAGATTGCAAATTGAAGTAGCTTCATGTCTTTATTAGGCTGCCACCATCAGAGCGCAAAGGATTAGAGTCCCAAACTTTGTGTAGCTCAAAACTCCTCTCCATATCGAATGAAGGAGGAGACTCACGCTGACTAAAGGGCTGGCTTCAGGTCTGGAGAGATTTCCTTTTCACGAGGTTAGTTCGTAAGTCTTATCTGTGAAGCGAGATTAAATGATTCTTATTCTCTAGCGGGGTATCTGATGAATTGCGTGTGTTTGTAGTTATGCATGATATTCACCTATGGCAGCCTAGCATCTATGCGGTTTGTTATGAGGCTTGATGTTGTCATGACCACATACAGAAAACGCCAGTTAATTTGCTTGATAAAGATCCCTATTCTGCTTTATGTCTGGTGACTAATAAGCTTTTTATCCATTTAGTTGGTCAATGCCAACAAGCACTTAAATCAAGTGTGCAGAAGGAAGTGATACTATATAACTTTAATGCTGGAAGACAAAAAGATAGTAACAGAAGTCTTAACCACGAAAAAAGCAGGACACTTGAAAATTTTAGATAACAAGGGATAGTCTTACACAGAAAACAAACAGTTTTGAGAGATATTGCCTTCTCAGTAAAGAAAAACTCTGCTTCAGCCCAAGAACTCTACATCCTCTTGCTCCTTCCAATTTTAAAAGCATCAGGATTTGTATAACAGCTTCCATGAACTTCTGAACATTTGAACATAAAAATTTTTCATTCTAGAGTAAACAGTAGACCGGAGATAGGAGTCTAAACCTAGAGATCCATGTCAACATCTAGCAGCATTAGGAATTTGCTGCAGGTGAAATCCACAACTGTTTCTCGCCGGAGGTTTTTTGTTTTGCTTCAATCATCTTTGACAAGGCACATTGTTCAAAGTTATACATGATGGTTGGATGTATATAGATCTCTAGCACAAAGCCAATAAAGTGAATAACTTACAGAAGCAGGTGTTATATATAGTATTATCTACTATATTGTCACAACTAACTATCAAATTTATAACTCTATACACTTGACTGAAATTAAAAATTAAAGAAATGAGAGTAGCAAATATAATAGTGGATAATGTTTCCAAAACGAAATGATGGTAGGAAAAGCTATGAAAGTAGAACTTCCTTTTTTTTATTGGATAAATGAAAGTGTCATAATCCAAAAAGAAGAAACAACAGCTATAATAGATCACAAGGGTCCTAACAACGAGACGATAATACTACAATTCATATAGAACAAAAGATAAAGTAATAAGTCCGAAATCAGTCTTCATACTCTCATAAAGACTCATATCAATCTTATGAAAATTACAAACTCCATCCTAGACAACATAGGCATTAGCTTTGGAAACAAGCTGAACAGGTGTGTCTTCTGCAAATCCAATCTCTAATTTGTTTCTTGCAACATCTAATAACAGTAACAATTTCATGCCAATCACAGAAAAGTTGATGAGAAAATCTGGCCCTTAAGAGTAAACTTTGCCAGTTGAAATTCCAAGTTCCAGCAGCAAAAAGGATCTGTTTATATAGCAGAAAAATAATAGTCAATCTCCAAATTTCCTATGTACATTGACAAAAGAAGAACATAGGATCCTTGTTTCCAGGTTATGTTGACAAACTTCATGAAATTCAACACAACGATGAGCTCTAGGAGTGTAATTGAAAAATATGATGTGAAAGGCAACTTGTAGAAGAAATGATTGCAAGCATAGAATACAACCGATAAGCAACGCACGTATGAAAGGTCTTGAGGATGACATTGTCAACATGCAAATTAAATCTACCTAATAATGAATAAATATATTACCATTAATTGTCTAGACTCACCTACCATAATTTTGGCTTAGTTCGAAAACACAATGGAAGGCACGTGTTGGACTTTGTAGAAATCTTCCCCATCTTCCTCGAGACTACTTTTGAATGCTCTAGACATCCACCTAATCTCTAGTTCTCGGAGGGTAGTGATGAACCTCAGCCCATCTGGAACCATTTTCAACTTGTAGCAATCTGAAACACCCAGACGACTTAGAGTAGGCATAGCTCCTTCTTCAATTGTCCACTCCTCAAAATTGGGCAACCCCCGAAGAAGTAAAGTTTTGAGTTGAGGGAAAGTGTCCTTAGAGCAAATCATTTTCTTTCCAATGAATACTTCCCATCCACTGAAGTACTTTAAGTAAGGCAGCTTCCCAAGAGCTTCCATTGGGTCTTCACCAAGTCTAGATCCCCATAAAGTTAACTTGGTGAGAGATGAAGGGAATTGATTGTTTTTGGGTAAGTTGTCTATTCTCCCTTCTACATGCAGCTTGGAAAGACGGGGGCAGCCAGATAATAGTCGCCTTAAATTAACTACCTTATTGGGAAAGGAAAGGAGGTCAGTTTTTAAAGACAGGGACATGAGGTATTGCAATGTGTTATTTGGAGGTTCAAAGATTTCAACAAACGTTTCAAAGTGTCTAGGGTCATTCAGAACAAGTTTCTGGAGGTTGGTCAATCTGAGAAGATCCCTAACATCACATTTATTAGCAGGAAAGTTTGCAAGAGTCTGCAAGTTGCTCAGATTAGCCAACGTTAACTTATCTGTAACGTTACCACACCACTTAGGCAGATATAGATGTCTCAACTGGTCCATCTTCCATATCATATTTGGCACTTGTACAGTTGATTCCCATGACACTTTATCAATGGTTTGCAAGTTCAGCGTCTGCAAGCCAACCAGATTGACCAGAGATGATGGTAATTCTCTTATTCGTGTTTTCTTCAAACTTAAAAATCTCAACTGAATTAGAGCTCCTACATCTTTTGGTAACTTCTCATCAAGTCCTTTAATTCCTTCAAGATCTAGCACTTTAAGCAATTTGAATTTGTCAAACACAGATTTCAAAAGCCGTCCATCATGTAATCTATGTTTTTTTGGACGGAAAAAGAATAAGGACCTAAGGTTGGGATTTTTCTGGTATTCTGGCAAAACAGGTTCTTGAACATGACTCAAATGGATGGCACACCTGCGAATTCTGCTTGCTGACATTGTTTTAGAATATCCAGAAGATCGAACATCACCATTAGTTTTGTTTCCATCCGCATGATCAATGATATCGAAAAAGTTTTCTTGTTTGGCCTTCGACAGACATAGGTCACGCATAAGGTCATGGAGGCGACAAGTTTTGATTGTTCCTGTTGAGCCCCTCACTCCCAATTGAACCATGGACCTATTTATCAAGTCACGTAAGTAGCTTTTTGCGACTTCCTCCATGGTTCCATCTACTTCCTTTTCATCTTGTGAGGATACGATGCCTTCTGCAACCCATTGCTGAACTAATTTCTTTGTTGGGATGTCAAAATCTTCTGGAAACTGACTCAAATATAAGAAGCATGGTTTCAGCTGGTAAGGCAATTCATGGTAACTTAAAGCCAATACCTCAGATAGTCTAGCTTGTTCTCCACGTCCTTGAGATCTTGCTAAGTGGGACTTGATATTCCTGTGCACCATATCCCACTCATTCACTGTTTCTTTTGTTGCCAAAAGCCCACCAAGCACAATAATAGCTAGCGGTAAACCTGCACAACTCCCCACCATTTCCCTCCCTAAATTCTCCATATCTTTGTTGACTGTAAAGCCTGAAAAAGAAAGACAAAAGAAATAAAAAGATCTAAATAAGACAAGAAAAATTAGAAAATTTTCTGTTTCTTGTATGAATCAGAGATATACAACCAGGTGCTTTCCCCAATAATCATTCATTTTGCCACTTGGGCTTTAATTAGTTGTTTAGGGTGGAATTATCATTGGGGTGGGGATTCTGAATCCAAGGCTTTCTGATCCTTCTCTTCTTCAAAAAACAGACAAAACAGAAAAAAGAAAAGATTGTCTATCCCTAGATTGTCATGCTTCACGAAGGGATACCAATTAGGAAAGTTTCTTGTGTATGGTATGAGACGTAGTAAATTATCACAAAATGTATATCGGAGAAAAGAAAGGAGAAAAAGAAGGATGGTCGTAACAATGCAAAATTTAGGAACAGAACATGTATGTTCAAAGGGAATTAAATATTTACACATAAAGCATGTGTGTGGGGAATTATTATACTGCTGAAAGGAAAATGTACTTAATTTTTTGGCCATGACTAGTATGGTATAAATTTTTATGTATACCATTCCCGTTGAACCAGCAGTTGCCTTTTTGACTTTTATTGCCAATTCCTTCCTAGTGTCTACTTTAATCTTGCTTAGTTTATGGCTTTGCCTCTTGATTTTGGTTATCATGGTCATTGCTGTGCTTCCAGTAATTGTAAATTCAATGATGTTAATCTTACTCAATGCTTGGCTTGAAATATTAACCATCTTGTTCCTATAGCTTTAGTATGAACCTAGTCAATGCACTTGGCTTCAAATATGATCTGCTGGAGCTTCATCTATACAATTCAAATTAAGCTCCTAGTGTTGAACCATGCTAAATTTTTGTTAAAAAAACCCAGAAAGGGTAATGTAAAGTATTGGTTCTGGCAATTGTTAGGTTAGCAATGGTGATAACAATAGTTTAAGTAGTTATTATGTACTTTTCTTTTTCTTTATCCAAAGTTCAATTATCATATACTGCAACATCCTAAAGAATGGCTTCAGATAAGACAGAGATCTTAGGCAAAGCAGATACCAAAAGGCAGAATCATGGCTTAAGCAATCAAAGACTACGGGAATCTAAATCTCTAGGAGTATGAGTAACAGAATAATAAACTACCTGATTCGTGTTTCCATGGAAATGCTTTCCTTTGGAATAGCTCCCAACTCTTTTCTTCATTTAAACACTGTGGTTCATGAAGAAATCGACTCAGATCAGCACCCAAAGCTACTTCTTTGTTGCGGCTTGTAAGCAATATTTTGCTACCAACAGTTGTTTCTTTAGGAAAAGCAGGTTGTAGAGTCTCCCATGCCTCAGTGGTCCAAATGTCATCAATTACAATCAAACATCTTTTCTGTAGCTGAACTTTATAAAGCTTCTTTGCTAACTCATCATCCCTCATTCTCAAAATTTCTTCCTTCTCCTCCTTAGACGGGGTGATAAGCTTTAGCAAAATTCCTTCCCAAACATCTCTTCTTCTGCATTGTTGAGATACATAAGCCCAAGCAAAAGCTTCAAAGTGTCTCCTGATATCTGCGTGATGGTATAAGGTCTTAGCTAGGGTGGTCTTCCCTAGACCTCCCATTCCACATATAGACACCACGCGGCAACGCTCCTCTTCAGGCACCAACTTCTTGATCAGTACCGCTATGTTCTCGTCGAACCCAACAATATGCTCTTCGACAAGATGGGAGTAAGACCATCTCAGCTGCCTTTGCCTCTCTGATGCATAGCTAGATCCCTCTCCTTTTCTTGCAGTTATTCCATAAGTTTGCAAACTTCTGGTCAAGTCAGAGATTCTAGATTTGATCCTCTCAATTTCTGATGCAAGATTATGGAGTTCCTTGCCTTGGATAACGGTATTTCGGATTTTTCCACCTTTCTTGGATGCAAATTTAACAATAAAATTGTCAATCACATCCTCAACATCATAAGCAGCATCTCTTATTTCTGAAACCCAGTTTCTAACACTCTCATCTTCATCTTGTCTTTTATCTGCGTCTTTCAGGAAGCATTGCATCCGTTTTAGTTCGATATGCATCTGCCTTACTTGATCCTCTACTCCCCATAGCAGTGAAGCCTCCTGAATAAGTAGGTCGGCAAGCCTTTCTACAAGAAAAGACACCACGGACTCAGCCATGTTATGCTTCCTTTAGGCTAGTTTGGTAAGGAAGCCATTAAAAATTTGCAGGTGTTGCGAAGAGAACAGAGGCAAAGTTTATATTAGGGAAATGACTCAGTGGAACAGAAATTCATCTATGGAGGGACTGAAGTTCAAATGAAACTTCTGTCTGCTTTACCAAAGAAAATGTGCTGTTCTGCACAACATAATGACTGCCGATCAGTGCTTGACAAAACCAGTTAACTCTGTGAAAACCATTTGGCAATAATAATAAAAAAGAACTTTAAAAACCAAAGATCGAGATCCAACGGCATCAATTAAGTCAAGGGTCGTCGCTTTGTTTGCTTGGTTGTTTAATGAAGGATATTGGCCCGAGGCTGCTTGCTTTTTCCACGCAATGCAATGCGTGGTGGGCCAGAAAAGGCAGTCTCCCAACTGAATTGTTTATGGCAATGCCACTTTTCGAGTTACGTTTTGATGGCCTTTGTCCCATTCCAGCATTCACCCTTAATGATTTAAGTGTGAGCTTTGACTTTTTATGAATGGCAGCAACCAGGGAACGAACGGGGATTGGATTTGATCACGTTCTGTCCACCTTTTGTGCCGACCGCTTTCCAGTTAAATAATAAACAAAATTCAAGCCAACAGTACAAGATTGAATTCTTGGAACACCTTCAAAAATCAGTTTTTCTTTACAGTCTCTTCCATCTCTCTCCGAAATTTTTAAGAAGATGAAATCCACAATAAGACGGGGGGAAAAACGAATTTCCTTCAAAGACGGTGTTTAGCTCTTCCGGACTAAGCTGTCTTTCACCAGCCGAGATCAAAGCTGCTACCAGCAACTTCCATAAAGATTAATGATTGGCCTATCTTTTCAGCCATTATTTTATTGTTCAGGAGATTCTTGACAAAACAATGTCATTCAGCCAGTTAACCCTTGAATCGGACGTCAAGAAAAATTAGAGTCCCATGATTTTTGGGCAAAAGACTGGCAACAACTAGACTTCTCCCCTTTTCTTTCTTGTTGGGATGGATTTTGGTATTGCTAGCATTTCACCCTGCAGTTGTCACCCTCCCATTCTCACATTATACATGACAAAGGGGCTTTGGCATTCATTGATATAACCAAAATTTCTTTGTTTGCCCACATTGGGGAGATGTTATTTTTGCTGCTCATGCAATTTTTGTACTTTTCTTCGTCTCCCGCCCACTCATATCTTGTCTTAAACACACATTACTATTCTATTTAGTATTTTTTTTAAAACATTATAAATCTTAATTACTACAGTTTTTTTTTTAGCAAAATGCATAAATTTTGAGATTTACTGGATTTAAAATTAATCCTAATTAGGAAAAAAGAGGGTGGGTGGGTGGGGTGGGGCGGGGGGACTTGATGGTCCACTAATGAATTGCTCAACGTGCATTCTTATTCATGAATTATTGAGAAAGGGTTTTGGTGAACTAACCAAAAGGAATTGAAATGTGAAGTGAATGCATATCACAAACTACAAACTCAATGCCTCAACAAAGTCGTATAATTAAGGCGGGGCTAAAACGAGGTCAGCCTATATATGAAAGTTCCATCACCGCCACCGCCATGATTTTGTAGGTCTAAAACTAGCCCCACTCTATGCTGGCAAGATCTGTAGCTCCATCGGGATCAACCAAAATTATGTGACATGAAACTAAACTGTTCGCTGCTGAGAGTCAACAAATACGATTCTAGCAACATGGTTTCTGATCAGAATTCAAACCGACGCGTTCCCTTTGTGTGCTTTTTGGGCAATCAGCGCATGCTGCTCATTTTGCTGGTAAAAAAAGAAAAGAACTTAGCTAAAACCCACCACGTGTCTCCTGTTGGGTGATTCTAAAGGGCATCGTCTGTCGTCTGCTTAACAAAACTCAGAAAGGGCAAAAAATCATCTTGTCTGAATCTTTGAGACATTTATTTGCCTCTATTAATTCACGAGCTCTTACTACTATTTGTCACTTTCGCATATAATTGGAACAGTATTTGTGACTTTGTCCTTTTTGCCCCCCTCAAATGCGAACCTACCAAGAAAACTCAAAACAAATGACCGATTATTGGATATAAATTAGGTCAATTTACTCTATAAAAGATTCCTTTAACAGTTTTTTGAATGTACACAAAAATTTTGTTTATTTTCTTATGTGTTGAGATAGGATGATAATAAAAAAGAAAAACACAAGGAAGTTTAAAGTTGAGAGTTTGCGAGTACAAACTTTGATTTAGAGATTTACATATTCTTAGTGAAGACATTGTGTGGATCACCATTAGAGATAGGATAATTGTGTTGTTATGGTTTGATAAGTCCTAATTAATATACAAAAATAAAAAATGAAAAGCTAAAGAGGACTCTGTCAAAGAAAACAGATATCAAACTTTCAAATATGTCAAAATGTTTCTCTTATTGATTTTTTAAATTAATTTCAATTAAAGTGATTTACGACTTAGGAATTAAAATTTTAATACTTCGTTGCGTATGATCCGCCATAACATGATTCGAATCCCCTTCAACACCTTATGAGGCATGGTATAAAGTTAAACCAGCAGTTGACCAACTCAAGGTCTTTGGATGCATATGTTATCTTCATGTTCTAGAGGTCAAAAGAACAAAATTAGATCCTAAAGCAAAGCTTAGAGTGTTCTTGGGATACATTTTGCAAGCCGAGGGCTACAAGGTCTTCAATGTAAACTCCAAAATGGTTCAGGTTGCAAGAGACGTCATATTTGATGAAAATGCAAGGTGGAATTGGGAGTTTAACCTGGTTGAGAAATTTGATCACAGAATACTTGGTTTGGGGTCATTATCAGAAGTCATTCATGAATTTGATCATGATTGTGATAACACTGAATTTGCTGTTAGAGGTTCCAGGAGTTAGGAGAGCATATACGATATATGCAATATGGCTATTTCAAATCCTAAAAATTATTATGAAGTCAAGAATCAAGTTCATTAGCAAGATGCAATGTAGGATGAGCTGAAAATGATCAATAAAAACAGAGCTTGGATCTTTGTGGAAAGGATAAAGTCCATGAATGTCATTGACATTAAGTGGATTTTTTGAGCCAAATACAATGCAAATGGTTCTGTCAACAAACACAAGGCTCAACTACTGAGTATCTACTATACAGAAACTTTTGCACCTGTTGCTAGATTTAAGACAATTAGGTTGGTTATTTCAATTGTAAGATGCCTTGGTTGGGATGTCCATCATCTAAACATCAAGTCAGCATTCTTGAATGGGGACTTAAATGAAGATATTTTTGTTGAAATACTTGAAGAATTAAAAGTCAATAGTAAGGTCAACCCCATGTATAAATTGCATAAAGCTCTATATGGGCTTAAATAGGCCCCTAGATCCTTGTACAACAAAATTGACTCGTACTTGACCTCAAAAGGGTTCTTTAGAAGTATGAATGAACCTACTTTATATGTCTTACAAGCCAATAAAACAATGAAATTGATGGTATCATTGTATATAAACGACCTGTTTGTTACAAGTCTTTAAAGAAAGTTCATCATGTAATTCAAGAATGCAATGAAATCTGAATTTGAAATGAGTGATTTGGGAAAAATGAAGTTTTACCTTAGATATCAGGTTGATCAAAGTTCACAAGGTATTTTCCTTTCTCAGAAAAATTACATTTTTGAGATTCTCAAGAAGTTTAATATGTTGAGTTGGAAACTTGTTGATTGTCCTGTGGTTGAGAATGCTAACGCTGATGTTGGTGATCTTCCTAAGTTTACCAAGCCTTCATTATGTAGGAGCTTGATAGGGAGTCTATTGTGTGTATATGGCACTCGACAAGACATTATGTTCTTAGTAAGTTACCTTTCAAGATTCACGCAAACTCCTTCAATTCAACATTTCAAGTCTGCCAAAGAGAGTTTTAAGATACTTGAAAGGCACCTTGGATTTTGGTTTGAGTTACAACAGGGTTTCAAAAGAAAGTTTACGTGGTTTTAGCGACAGTGATTATGTAAAGGACTTTATTGATTGCAAAAGCACTTCTGGCTATGTGTTCTTCCTTGGGAATTCTGCTTTCAGTTGGAATTCTAGGAAGCAAGATGTTGTGGCTCAATCAACAGCTAAAGCAGAATATATTGCTACTGCAACTGCCACTAATTAGGCAATATAGCTCAAAAAATTGCTTTAACTTTAAGACTATTTGTGACTTGCATTGAAAACCTCATCAGTTCATGCTATTAACTTTAAGACTATTTGTGACTATTTTTGTATTGGAACAGCTTACTTTCTGTCAAATTATGAAAGCTGTGCACCTAGTGAATGACTTATGAGATGATTAGCATGTAATCTTGTGTCGAACTACTGTTTAAAGCTTTCTTGTTAAGTCTTTGCTGTGTATATTTTCTAAATTAATGCATACAAGATCAAGAACTTATTGTTAGAACAAATATCTTTACTTACTCTGAGCTTTAGGTTTAGCTACTTGTTCACTGATATGCTGTGTCGACCTATCTTTACTCGAAACAACATTAGAGTTAAACTATTAGATTTGTTGCTCAAACTATTAGAGTTAAACAAAAATGTTGGTAATTGAGCTGAAACCTAACACAATACTCTTCAACAAGCAAGATCATCTTAGCTTAAATCCTTTTGTCTCCCGAAGCAGAGCTAGATCTTTCTCCTTTCCTTGCACTTACGCTTAACTTTTCCTCTAGTAACACTATTTCAGATTCTTTCTCCATTTTTAGATGCAAATATGGCATTTGATTAAAACTAATAGCTCGGAATATCATTGCAAAACCATTTTACAAATCATAAATTAAGTGTTTAGTTTCTTTTTTTTTCAATTTTGATTTTCCCCGCAAGTGTAGTTGTTTTGGCCCTCTAGAAAACTCGGCTTGGGGCTTGATGCCAACGTTCTTTTAGAAGACCAAGGCCATTGTGCACCGTGCAGTGAAATTTCCCTTTTATCACACTCGACAGAGTGAACTAACGTCTGCTATTATTGACAAAGTTGGGCAACTCTTGGAAGGTCAGTGGGAAAGTGGAACGGTAGTAAATATGCAGCATGTAGGTGGAAGCTGCCAGGAAATGTGCATGACCGTTGAATTAATGCAAGGTTAATCTCTTGAAATGATATAGTCAGATTTCTACTTGATGATAGATGAAACCGAAACAAGATCAAATCCAAATTTGTTTCCTTTGGCTTTCTCTTTTTGTAATCTCCAGTTACTAAATCCTAAACTTCCACCATGAGAAGTCATTCCAATTGTCTTACAACATTCTCCAAAGTTTTTAAGCAAACATCACACAAAATAAAGTCCCAATTAGGTGGGAACAAAGCAAAGAAACAATATCTGGCACTTCCAGATGGACTATGTCGTCAGTTTTCACTAGCTGAGATTAAGGCTGCTACGAAAAACTTCCATGAAGACATGATTATTGGTCAAGGCAGTTATGTAGGTTCAATTTATAGAGGGATTATAGATGATGGAACCTTGGCCGTTGCTGTCAAATGCTTCAAAAACTTTGATCAAGAGTTGATAATGGGTGGAGGAGTTCAAGAGTTCCGAACTGAGGTGCAATTTCTTTGCCAACTGCGTCACCCAAATCTCGTGCCTCTCATTGGATTTTGCAATGAGAAAAATCACATGATCCTCTTGTATGAATACTCAGGCAAAGGGACACTTTACGATCATCTCCATGGCGAGTGTGATCCACTCCCATGGAAACAGAGGCTGAAGATATGCATTGGAGCAGCGCGAGGATTACATTACCTTCATGCTGGCGCAAAGCATGCGGTAATTCACCGCAACATCAATAGTAGCAATATTCTTTTGGATCAAGAATGGGGCTTTAAGCTCTCTGACTTTGGGTATTCCATGTTTGGTCCCCCTGCCATGTCAAATGCTTTAAGACAAATTGAGCAAGACCTTGTTGGTACTGAAACTACTGAAGGCTATATCGGTGAGGAACAGCTTCAGAATCATCTTGTGACGGACGAATCTGACGTTTACTCCTTTGGTATTCTTTTGTTTGAAGTACTTTGTGGTGGAGAGGTAATCGTTCCACTTTATCTGATTTTCACATGCATCGAAAACGAGACCATTCATCGTATCATTGATCCGCATCTGAAAGGAAAGATAGCTCCAGAATGTTTCAGGAAATTCGTGGAGATAGCTTATAGTTGTATTGGCAAGAAGGGAAATGAACAGCCTGCGATGGGTGAAGTGCAGGTGATGCTAGAGCATGTGTTGGAGCTGCAAAACAAAGCAGACTCTGAAATGAAAAGTATAAATCCTCATGCTGAATGTGTGTACCCAGAAGCATCATTTCAAGCATCCGTTGACTATGCTATTCCTGATTTTTATTTCGGAGGTGGAGGTGTCAGATTATCACTTTAGTTCACGGTATTGATGGAGACTTATTCGAACGAGATATAGCAGTCTGAGCACCATTCTCATGAAAATTTTCAGCCTAATGGTTAGGTTTCATAACCACATTTGTTGTCACAATCTTGGGAATTCCTGTTCCCTTCCTTCTTCCTTTCTATCCTCCTTACCAAGCGAGTCCTTACAAAAAAACACAAATACTGCAACAGCTTGGGAATTAAGTTGCTATATAAATGTGATCTTACTTGTTTCTTCTTTGTCTCGGCCCACGGGTTCAAGAACCCATTTGCCCGACAAGTGAAAGAATTGTCATTAATCTTTTTTTTAAAGTGTGATTGACTATTTAATTAAATTTATCATTCTCAATGAAATCCTAAACTTGCCTTAAATTCATTAAAAAGATAAGATTCAATCTATGAAATAGGATTGGGTTCGAGAGCGTAATTATGCTTAAAGAAGATATTAGGATCCCGAGACGCTAGTTCAAAAAATAATACCAATTAATCATGTGTTATATTTTCCTAACTTTGACAAATAATTTTTAATTTCATATTAGTATAATGCTCAAATAAACTTCTAAATTATTCAAATAAATTTAAATAAATTTTTATTTTTTTTATTACATTCTATTAAACCTCTACACTTCTATGAGTCAAATAAGCTTTCATGACTAGTGATTTATTAATTGCCATTAGTTAAAATGTCACTTGTAATTTTTTAAAATATCACATATTATTTTATATCAACATGACATTGACATGAAGTTGATGTGGAAGGTAAAAAAGGCTATATGCTTATATTATCATATTAAATTAGCATTTCAATTATGATATGTCAGCATGTAATGTTAATGCCATGTGACATAGAATGACAAATGACATTTTTATTAAGTCAGTTATTAATTATAAATGCTTATTTGACTTAAAATAAAAATATAAAAACTTATTTGACTCAAAATAAAACATATGAGGACTTGATTGAATGCAATAAAAGTATAAGAGCTTATTTGAATTTTTTTAAAATATTATGCGTTTCATATTTAATTTTATTTCCCTATATTATTATTCTTGTCTTATTTTCTTTCTGTTTTTTATTATTCCACTATTTAAATATTGAAGGTTTTCAGAAGGCCTTCCCAACACATCTAGTGGAGCCTAAGGAAATTTTTCTCAGGAGAGTATTCAAGAATTTTAAAAAATTTTAAATTAAAAATATATATGATGCAAGTAAATAAATATGATAATACAAATTTACAAATTATTAATAATTTTAAATACAACTTATTCTTTTTCTTCTATATATTTTTAATTATTTAGAAATAATTCAATTTGTGAAAAATCATTGGGAGAAACCCAACACTGGTTTTGATAAGGGTCCAGGGCTATTTTTCACTAACGAAAATATAGAAAAATTGTCGGTTATAACTTTTCTAAAATCTCCTTGTTAGGAAAATTTTCTAAATATTACATTTTAGTATTCGATTTTCTCAATTAAAGATTTGTATTTTCATCATACTTATTACTTGCTCACTTTTTAAAATAACTTCATAAATTTTAACCATGCGCATAATAAAAAAAAAATTCAATAGGCTAGAAAAATATACCAGGTAAGTAAGCCGACTTCTTTTCGGAATGGGGCTTGCAAAAGTCCCCAGTCTAGTAAAGGAAGCTGTTGTGACTAATTAAATAGCATAAGAATGAAGGTTTTGCATGGTTGATAATTAGCCATGTTGCTAGTCAAGACAACCAATAAATCAATTCAATTTGTTGTCGGAGGAGGACTTTGGTATTCGTTGCTGACCTCCAATCAAACATTTGATTCCAGGTGGGAAAATCAAGCAGTCATTTTCCTAATGTCCAAGCTCCAGCTCATTTTCCATTTAGACTAACTACAGATGAAATGCATGATGTTGGTCCCCAAATGAATTATTAGAAAGAACGGTGAAAGAAAAATTTTTCTTTTCGTGGAAAATGAATCACGTCTTTTATATTTGCATTTAAATAAGAATGTTAAGAATTACAATAAACATTATAGTAATTGCAATTAGTCAACAAAAGAATCTAAAAGCTAATGACTCTAAGACCTATTATTGATCTATTACTTTTATTTCTTAATGAAATTCATTTCTTAAACCTAAATAGAAACTATGTAGACTTTTTAATTTGATTAGTCAAGGCTTGAAAGACAGAGATGAAAGCAAAGAAAACCAAAAACAAAGTAGAGAAGAGCGGAAACAATAAAAAAGACAGCCGACCAGTAAAGAAAATAAAAAAACTAGACTACTTCATCAATGGTTCGGGCCTGAATTCTATCACCAACTTGGACTGTCTGTTTTGCTTCTGCGGTTTCTTGCAACTGCAGCGCGAACTCGAGCATTCCCACCACATCACTCATCGTTGGCCGTTCAAGTCCCACTTCACGTAGGCAGTTTTCTGCAATCTCAGCAAACACTCTTAGACACTCTGGTGCAATTTTACCTTGCAAGTAAGGGTCAATGATTTGTTCAATGGTTTCATTCTCTACACATTTGAGAGCCCAACCGGCTAGACCTATTTGCTCATCTTCCAATTTTATATCCACAGCGGGTCTAGCACACAATACTTCAAATAGCACCACCCCAAAAGAGTACACATCCGACTTCTCTGTCAATTGTAGCCTTCTATAGTACTCTGGATCCATGTACCCGAAGGTACCCTTCACCATAGTTGTGATTGGGACATTGGCCATGAAAATTGGACCCATTTTCGACAACCCAAAATCCGAGACTTTAGCTACCCATTTCTCATCCAACAAAATATTGGTAGTCTTGACATCACGGTGGATGATTCTCTGAACTGCACTAGAATGAAGGTAGTCTAATCCACGAGCAGCACCAATGCAGATTTGCAGCCTTTGCTTCCATGGGAGAGGGATTTTGTCATTGTTATAGAGGTGATCGCGAAGGGTTCCATTGACCATATAATCGTAAACAAGAATCATCTCATTGTTATCATTACAATAACCTATTAGTGAAACCAGGTTAATGTATCGAAGCTGAGAGAGCATCTCAATCTCTGTCCAAAACTCATTTTCACCTTGATGGGACATTGAATTGAGTCGCTTAATTGCCACCTCATATTGTAGACCCTGAATGTGACCCTTGTATACATTGCCAAAGCCACCACGTCCTATAACGAGAGCATCGTCGAAGTTGTTTGTTGCAGTGAGGATGTCGGCAAGTGAAAAGTGCTTGCATCCTATGCCTTTTGACAAAGGTGAAACTTTTCTTCTTTGTGAGAATTTCTGTATGAGCAGAAGATGTTTCTTTTGCCAGAAAATATAGGAAAATAGAAGAAAGAGTGATGTGGCGCTGCCCATTGTAGCTCCGATGACGGCCTTAAATTTTCTCCTCGTCTTTGAGTGCTTTTGCTCAAGCAGTGGTGATATGTGAACCACTTCTACTTCAGGGTTTGGCGCCGCAAGACTACCATCTGTTTTATTCAACTTGAAAATCTCTAAACCATTCAAAATAGCATCTATAAATTCTGGATGATTTTTGGTGGAAGGGTGTATTGCAACCCATAAATCTTGTGTACTTGGACTGCCATGTGGTGCCCACACAACATAGTCTCTGTACACTGGAACGCCATTACCACCACTAACGGCGATCACATCCATACTGGCCTCAGCTGTCTGATTATTAAGGAAGATGTTGAATACACGTTGATTCGGCATTGTTACCTCCGGTTGAGTCTCGCAAAAATGAAGCCTGACAAGGTAGTAAAATCCAGAATCAACAGGACAAACCCAGGTAAGATTGTAATTCGAGTTAATACTTGCAGTAGGGCCCATTGTACGAGAGGTTTTGTATACAACTTGTGGTGCAGTATAAATCGGCGTGGCCAGGGTGTATTTTATTGTAGCTTCAGGCTCAAAAGGGGCAACTCCTGATGCTGCTCCAAAGATATAGTCCATATCTCCATGCCATGTTCTGAACATCCCTGTATCGTCTATATTTGAAACATCTCCTCCGCCAACATTTAGCCGATACGCAGTTTCTAGAGCAGTGGTGTTATCAAGCTCGAAAAAGTAGTTGGTGCCTACTAAGCGAACAGAGCCATATTTCTGGCCTGCATAGAGGTGGGTAGGCATGGAAACGACTTCTATGCCATTCACAAAAGCAAAAGAATATGGCGATGGGCTGAAGGTGACATGTAGCATCTTATTGTTACTAACAGTGACGACAAATTCTTTGATAATGAAGCCTTTTTGGGGATTAGTAGCAGCAACTAAATAGGCACTGAAGTTGTGCAAGAGAGTGTAATTATTAGCAGTGACGGAGAAGAAGGAAGTGGTTATATCAAGGCCAGGATATTCATTTGGGTAGAAGTAGAGACGAAGAAACTTCGGGCCAGGCGAAACAGGGAATTTGTATGTGAATTTGCCATGAAAAATACGAGCTGTCATGTAAGGCACTTCAGTAACAGAGGGTTCTTGATAGGAGGCTATGGATGCAAATGAAGAGGATTTAGAGATGGAGGAGGAATATTTGTAATCAGCATCGCCGACCCAGTTCTGGCCATCCAAAGATGTAGTGTTCGATGATGCACCACAATTCAAGAGTATGTGGTCCGTAGGGGTGTAAGGAGCTGAATTTGTTAAGGGAGCTGCAGAGAAAAAAATGAGGAGGAAGACAGTAGAGACGAGTATGGTTTGCATTGTGAAGTTAGTGTTTTGTGGTGGGTAGAAGCTACAACTTATATATAGCTAACCAAATAGCTTGAAAAGTTTTGTGCTATGCTTTAAGGACCAATACTAAAACTGGAGAGGGACAACCCGGCAACTCTGCACTGCCGATTCCAGTAGATTCCAGCTAAGGTTTGAACACGGTTTTTAAGTCCAACAGCGAACGGATTGTAAAATATAAAAATAAAAATAAAAAATCGTAAATCAACAATCAAATAAATATGTGGATATTGCTACTTTGTTGCGAACATGTAATAAATAGGGTGACAATACGATAATTTGACGAAGCAGATCAAATGTTTTGGTTTTATTTACTATGACTTATTTTGTTTCTTTAATTGTTTCTAAAACTGGTGTCTTCTACTTTTATAGAAAGTAGGGATTATAGTTTTTTTTTTAATTAATTTTTTCACAAGAAACTACTCCATCAAGGCTGATTTTGTTCAAATATTAACTCTTTATCATTTTGATTGTTTGTTTCCGTGTGAACTTGACTTGTTTGTTATGTTATTCATTTTGTTGAAAAGTTGT